GTCCCGCCTGCGGGCGGGCGGCCTCTCCCCCCCCTTCCCCCGGCTACCAGCATCCCTCCCTCAGCTCCGACACCCTCCCTCTCCTCCGGTACCGCGGCTCTGCCTCCCCTGGCAGTGACTCCTTCGCCTCTCGTACCTCAGCATCCTCCCCCCTCAGGTACCCGGCGCCCTCCTTTCCCTCAGCCCCGGCACCCTCCCCGCACTGCGAGCCCGCCCCTCCTCAGGTACCCGGCGCCCTCCTTTCCCTCAGCTCTGCCCCCCACATCCCACCACGTCTGTGATCCCCATCACGTCTGGTTCCCCAGCACCTTTCCCCCCGACCAGCCCCCGCTTTTACCCCCTGCTGCCCAGCACCCTCCCTCCCCCATTTGGGATCTCCATCTCCAGCATCCTTCCCCTCGCTACGACCGTCTACCGCTTTTCCCTGAGGTCCCCCTGCCGCGAACCCCACCACCTCTGGCGCCCTGGCATTTTCCCTCAGCTCTCTTCATTGCCCAGGCACAGCTTGTACAGCGTCCTGACTCTGACTCTTCCACACACATAGCCTGCTTGCTCCCATGATCCTGGGGGACTTACGCATTGCAAACTCCTTCTCTATTGACTCCTGTTTTCTAAGCCCCTTGCCCGAGAATGTGTGCGTGTAAACCATTGTTAAATGTATCAGTGGGTCAAGTCTGGTTTGCTCGTTTTGTGGTGTTTGGGTTTTTTTGCCAGTGTCCTGGGATCAGCTTGTAATCCTTTAGATGCTGATTTAAGTGACCCCTTTTCTTTGCTAGTATAGTGGCAGTACCTCCCCCCACTCCCCCAGTGCACTTGCTGTTCATATGCCACCGATTTAGCATGATACTTCACGTTTTGCTTAACCCAGTGTGTTCTGTAATTCCACGTGGTGTTGTCGCAGATCTTTCTTCATTTCACACAGCATTTTGTGGCACTTCGGGGTTTTTCCCCTTATGTGCTAGAATTCCATACTGCTTGGTATTTTTTTAGCCATTTTCCCCATATTTTTTCATTATTTCCTGACGTCTTTTTTTCTTTCTTTTTTTTTTTGCTTTTCTTACGATTGTACCTATTTTCTCTGGGATTCATCGGTCTTTGGGATCCTTGTTGAGTTAGGAAAGATGTGAATAACTTTAACCCAGAACTTAGGTCCTGATTCTTTCATTCTGTGATCTCCAGGCTTGTGACATGGCCACAGATGTAGCTGAGCCTGTGGTCCCTGACTGCAGAGGAGACGTAAGGAGCGGTGCCAGGTCAGATGCCGACTATCCTCTTCGGGTTCTCTACTGCGGAGGCAAGTGCTGAAGGGGCAGTTGTCCACGATTCTTACAATGTGCTGTTTGTGAGGGCAGCCTAGCAGAAAGAATGAGAGAATCGGAGATTTTCTTTTGGTCAGCTTTTATTGAGAAGCTAGACCATGATCAGCTTGACCTTTATGATTATCTTTCTGAAATAGCTTGTGTTGTGTATTTTACCTAAAGCATTTTTGGTGAAATGTAGGGGTCTTCCCTCTGAGAGATGAAGGTACTGACAGCATTCTGTGTGTAAAAGAAGCGAGAGTGGTGCTCAGATAGTGAACTGTTCAGCAAAGATCTTTTCCTGCAGAAAGCAAGTAAAGCCTTTAGCACAGAAGAGGCCTCTCAGCATTAGTATGACAACAAGAAATAAAGTTAGAATTCATGAAAGTGATTTTTTACACTGTGTTTAGAATTCTTTACTCATTACATTTGTAGTTACGTGGATGAAATTTAAAGGGAAGTAAGTAATCTTGACAGGTATGTTTTTTAGATAGATATGTTATTTTGGTTTGGGCTTGAATACAGTTGCAGGGGATTAGGAAATAATCCCTGTTGTGCGTGAAAGTCTGCATAATTGGTTTGGGTCTGTTCTGGGGCCCAGCCCCTCTTCTGGACATTGGCAGCTCTTGGAAAAAGAAAAGCTAACCAAACCACGTGGTAATTTATTAGGAATATCTTTTGCCTCAGGTAGAACTGGTGTTTCTTTCTGTAACTTTTCCCAAAGCTGTAGGCATCTCCTTCCCTTCCTTCATTGACTGGGTGCTCTTGCTGGGATAGTTTTATCCTAATGCAGAGTGTGTGAGCAAATGACTACTGAGAAAAAAATTAAAACCTGGAGTGGTATCAATGAAGTAATCTGAGTCAATGTGTGGTTATAACCAGAAGTTATGACATAAGAAGTCATCCCTAACTTTAAAATACCATTTTGAATTTAATGCTAAGGCTGTAAGTGGAGAACTTATTTTTGTAATCTCTTCTTTTTTTTTTTCCTCTCCCTTCTTTCTCCAGTCTGTTCATTGCCAACAGAGGTGAGTTAATTTTTTTGTTGTCCAAGTTTCTTCTTTCTGTCCTATGATTATGGACTATGATGATCCTTTCTGATGTTTTCTGGCTTTTCTTAATTGTGGCAGTTCTGTGCTTCAGCCACTGTCATCTTTAGGGTGACACAAGGTTTCTTATGTGCTAGTATAGTATTCGTATTCAGTCATCTTAAGGAGAAGTGGCTGAGCTGAATAGCAAATATATTTTGATTCACTGATACCAAATTCACATGACCTTTCTTCTCTAGTACTGCGAATATATGCCTGATGTGACTAAATGCAGACAATGGTTAGAAAAGAATTTTCCAGATGAGTTTGCAAAACTCACAGTAGGTAAGAATCTTTTCTATTTTCTAACTGGTATGTGCCCTTAGACATACTCAGAAATCTTTGAGCTTGTCCAGTTCTCACCTCTTCCCTTTTCCTGCTGTATCAAATGTGAAAGTTAATAATTTTCTTAGGAGTCTACCGTGCTTTTGGATGCTGTGAAAATATGCTTGATAGTGTCAGAAAACACTGAATGAACAATGTGTAATTTCAGTAATAACGTTTGAGCTTTCTTAAGGTTCCTGCTGTAACCAGTCATCCATGTACTTGTTTCCAATCAAAGTTAGTTTGTTGGATTTTATATCTGTCCAGTCTACTGTGGATGGCTGGAGTAAAGGTCATTAGTAATAGGGAACTTGTTGATTTGCATTTGGAATTTCAATATTAACACTATCATTAATTTCTGTCTTTCTGTGGAAATTATGTGAAGAGGCTGTATTGAAATTGTAACTATCTTTGAGCTAAGGCTTTTCTGAAGTCTAATTTGCATAAGTACTATAATGAAGATGTAACATGCATCAGTGAAGGGCCTGCTGCACTTAAGCACAGAGTTTACGAATTTAGCAAAATACCACTGTACCTTACTTCCTGTTCCTGTAAGGCTGTGGTTGTCTGACCACTAATTTTGTTCTCTTTCCTCTCCCCACTCCTTTCTGATGCATTTAAGAAAATTCACCTAAACAGGAAGCTGGGGTTGGAGAAGGCCAAGGAACTGCAGGAGAAGAAGAAGAGAAGAAGAAGCAAAAGAGAGGCAAGGTCTAAATAGTTGATTGCGGTATTGACATATAAGCAGTTTGGGGCATCCCTTTCTCACTGCTGTTCTGTACTATGGCATGGATTCCTTGTGTTTTGGTTGTTAGCTACACTTTGACTCTGCACAAAACATACCGAATATCTTTCTTCCAGTGGTAGCAGAGTTGGTGTGGTGATATATGCTGATGAAAGAATTGGATAGTAGGAATAGCAAGTGAAAGGTGACCTGCATCATGTGTCTCATTGTTCTGTCATTGCTGTTGTATTTACTCAGGGAGTAATTCTTCTAGACCTAAAATCAGCTGGCATGCCTCCCGGAATACTTGTTTCTGCCCTGTTTAACAGCAGTTTATAGGTTGCTTGCAGAGTAGAACAAAGACTGCTTTCCTCCATTAATGCCTCATGACACTGCTTTTGCCTTTTTTCCTTCCACCATCCTCTGTATTCACGTAACAGGATTTGGTTTTATGCTTTTAACACTATGACCTATGTCTCCTTTAACAGCTATGTCTCTTCCCAGCAATACTAATGAAAAACATTTTCAAAAACCAACTTTGGAAGATATAAAATATATGCAACAATTTAAACACTTTTTTATCTTCTATTGTTGGAGTTCTTTCTGTTTAATTAATGAACATACTTACCACTATAAATCAGAATGCTGGGGTTGTTAATATGCATTTGCCTGTGGAGTGTCAGTGGTGTCTGTAGTGCTTCAGAAATTATGGTTAATAGCCCAGTAAGATTCAGATTTTAAGCCACATATCACTGCAGATGTTTTATTTTTGTGTCTGCCTTGGTAACCAGTTATGTTTACCTTGTCAGTAGGCTATGTGTAGTGACAACAGTAATTTATGTTCTGTAGCTTGGATGCTTTTCCCAGAGACTTCAGGAGATTTTCTTGCAACATTAATTTATTGTGTGGGGTGGTATAGTTAGTTTTCAGTCTGTTTTTTGGTTCAAATAATACTGTTTAAAATATTTAGGGTTTTTTTTCCTAGAATCTAAAGTTTCATTAAAACTTATGGTATGGTGTTAACTATGATGCTATAAGATTGACCATAAGAGAGAGGCTGAGGAAAAACAAGCGAAAACTTACTAAAACACTGCAGAAATTTACTGAAGAAATTTTAAGACAGAAATTTACTGTCCTAAATTATTGGATATCAGTTTATAGTAATGTAGAACTGAAAGTTCTGCATGTTAGAGAAGGAAGTAGTCACAAGGGGTTAGTTTGCTTGTCATAAATTCTTTAGGTTTTCATGCTGACAAGGCTCAAGAACATGAAACTTTGGTTACCCTGGAGTAATTTGATGACTGTACACAAAGAGAACCGAGATCTTAATCTGACTTAAGAATCCTAATGAGTGGAATATAACT